TGAAAATAAACGCAACAAAAAGTATATAAATCTCAGTAAACTAATTGAAAATAGACAAGAAAATGATTATAGTGTAACTGGCAGTGAAGTTCAATATGGATCCTTTGGCTTGTGCTAAGGGAATAGCTTGAAAAAATATAAAATGCTAATAGTTGATGAAAATTTTTTTGTCAATTTTCGTTTCTTAAAAAAGACGAATAAATCACACAACGATATACGTATGCATTATTGGATGGTAAGGCAAATTGTCTTGTATTATTTTAAAATTAATTTGAATATTCAGATTATCATGAAATTAACGCTCTTTTAAATGCTTGGGTCAACTTGAATGATCGAATTAACATGAAAATAAAAATCAATTTTGTAGTCTAAATTTTTTGTAAACTTCTAAACAACTTTACTACAAAATTGTACGACAATCATAATCAACCTTTTTTTTGATAACTTTTTCATTGAAAATTTCAATGAAAAAGACTGCAGTAAATGACAGACTAGTTTATACCAAAATAATTTTAGGGTTATTTTTTTCAAAAATGTATGATAACTATATATTTTAAGAAATATTACAGGCAAAATTCTTATATCTAAAATGTTGATATTAGAAAATATTAAGTTTAAGAATATTTGCATTGCTTAGTAACTAAAGATTATAACTGATTACACGTAAATTACTTTTTACGTTCAAAGTCAAGAAAAAAATGAAAAATTATGAAAATTAAAAAGCAATTAAGTAGAATTTTTACCAGAAAGTGCATCTTATAAATGAATAAAATTACCGAAAATTTAAAATATTTTAGTCACAATTCGAAGTTCTTACTGAAGTCCTGTACAAAAGATCATCTTTTTAATAAATTCAAATATATTTATATTGCTCTCTAATTAGAATATTTATTCAATGCATTAAAATAATAAATAAGTCTTACTGAAAACAAAACAAACCAAGAATTATTAGTTGAATTTGAACAGATGCGTCAACCTGATGACCTGCTTGGCCTATTGCTAATAAGTAGCTCATTAACGTCTTTTATTCAACAAATTAAATTAATTCTACCCTCATTATGTAAGAATTCATTATAAATTAGCTAAAATATCAAGTAAACATGGCTTGTCCACATATGCTAATTACTTTGTTATACTTGGTTAAAATAGCAAAACGAGTAACAAACTGTGCTAAAACTAACAATGCATCGTTCTAAGAAACTATTTTTGCAATTGACTTTAGGCCAACACGTAAAAATGCGTAGAATAAAAAATTTGTAGCCAAAATTGATATTGAATTAGTTTGTCTAATTAAAATATAACAAAAAATCTACGTGGACGAATTACTAACTAAATTAATGAAAAAGTTGAAATGGTCATTGAAGTAGTGAATAAATAATTAATCAATTAAGAAGTAGAGTAAATGAAATCAATTTGATTTTTCAATTACTAAGCAACTCAGAAATTCATAACGATATTTGAAATTAAAATCTTAAAAAATTAATAGTGAAAGGCATTTGATACTTGAATGTACTCCGAATTATTAAGCACTCTCCTAAAGATTACTTTATTTAACATAGATAAGATTGAAAAATGTTATTAGCAGAATAATAATAATAATAATAATAATAAATGAATAAATAAGTGAAAAGAATGATTGATGAATATAACACAATTATGATTGTATTTAACATTGAATCAATTGATAATGATGTAATTTCACGAATGCTTTTAAAATAAAATCTAAGAATTGTCAATAGAAATTTTAATAAGATTTAAAAGTGAATGACATTGGCATGAGAAAATAAATTTCAACAAAATTTAAAATTTACTTGTAATCATTTTATATCATCTACTACTTGTAAACTTTACTTATTTGTAATTTTTACAAAAAATCATGCAAAAATCTAAACTGCTTCATTTTATACTGTTTTTAAATATCATTCAGCTTTTGTAAAATTGTTGTTAATCCAAATTATAATTAGTTAACAAAAAATAAAACTCAATTTTTATCACAGCTCGCAGTAATAATTTTTGATTTTTAATCAAAGAGAACACTTCGTCAATCTTAGTGTAATCACTAATGAACTTCATACAAACCGACCATAATTTATTGGCTTGCAGTAAGATGTGATTATGTATTTCATTCAAAATAATGATAAGTTATAAAATTTATTTAGTCACTATTTACATAAGTGATTGTAATGCATGAGAAATAAATTACAGTTATATTGGCAATTTTAAAAATTTATTATCTGATTAAAAGCCAATTACTTTAGAGCAAAAATTTTATTTGCAATCAAGTTTGAATTTGAAAGAAATGTGAAACTAAGATAGATTTGAAATGGTACTAAACTACAATAAAGCAAATTACGAAAATTGAAAAGAAAAGGACTTATTTCTGTTATGATATAAAAGATGTTGCTAAAATGTTGCAAAAATAACCCTCTCTGTTCATTACATGAGTTGGTGCTACCAAGCGAGAACTGTTTGCATGAGTTGGACTGCTTAAGTTTGAGTGAATTGTCGATGTTGTGCGTACTGATGGCGATGGAAGTCTGAAAAATTAATTAGTTACAGCGCCAGAAAAAAAAAATAGACTTTACTATTAATGATACTTTGCATGCTTAACTTAACCAGCATTATTAAAATTATTCATATATACTTGTTTGAAGAAATCTAAGAATGTTTACATAGTTCTTACTGAAAATTAAAAATTGTTGTGAGAAACTAGAATCAAATTTCTATGCAAATTTTCAATTATTACTTATGAAAACTAAAAAAAATGAATATCAGATCTTTCAAATTTATGTTTCTTTCAAAGATTCATAATTTTGTAGTCAGAGTGATTTTTTATAAACTTTTTCATTTTAATATTACTATAAAAACTGCATGAATTGATAGTGCTAAAATTTGTAAAAATATTATTGACTGTTATAAATTAAAATTTAATAATTAAATAAATTAAATTCATTGTTTTCCGTTATATTTAATTCTGCAATTATCATTTGAATTATTATTTTCTAAATACTTATGAGTATAAGCTAATTTTGCATGCAAACATCAAACATTTGCCGTTTCAATTGCAAATGGAAATTTGCTAATAGCAAAATGTATAAAAGTAAACAATTAACTTTGCAATATATTCGATAAATCAGTTTCGTTGTATATGATAGAAGAATAGTAATATTTTCTTACTATCATTAATTAGTACTATTTAAATATCAATCATTCATTATACTGTTGTCAATAATCACTACAATTATTACCAATATTTTATGCATTTGCAGTGTTTTAATTTTGTTTTTAAATACTAATTAGAGTACTTTTTACTGCCAATTTTGTTTGATCAAAGCATATTGAAAATTGTTTGAGAATTCTAT